AATGTGTTAGTGTCTAAAGTAATGGGCTGGAAAACTAAGATCCGTATACATAAAACTATCATTAGGCCCATTTTAATGTATGGCTACGAAACTTGGACACTGACACTTAGGGAAGAGAAAGAGCTTCTTGTCGTCGAACGGAAGATATATCGTAAGATTATGAGGCCCGTGCATAGACAAGACAGCACCTGGAAGATACGAAAGAACCAGGTGATAGATTATATGGTGTCTGAGCCCAACATTATGGGCTAGGTAAAATCCGCGAGACTCCGCTGGTTTGGGCACCTGAAACGAATGCCGGCAGACAGGATGAAGTGGTGAAGTACTTTAGCGCCCTGAACGCAGAAAACTGGGAAGAGATTGCATAAGATAGGGCGCGTTGGCGCCAACTCGTATTGGAGGCGAAGACCCACTTCGGGTTGCCACGAGAGCCAGTGAGTTAGTTACAAAGTAATAACCAAGAAATGCATTTAAACTCAAGTGTCTTGTAGCTTGTAGCTTAATAATTGAAGGGCATGAATTTAAGTTTATGAAGAAATGATGTTTCAATTATAAAAATTTAGTAGTCGTATGAACATTTTTTTAATTAGGGAAAATTCAGTCTCTATAACTTGTATCTGTAAGTGGTATAACAATGTACCTATGTGAACAATCAATAATGATGATTTATCGTATAATACTTATATTTTTCATATTCATTGTGTATAAATATAAAGCTTTCACGTTAAAATGTACGTAGCAGTAAGTAATACAAAGACGCGTCATGATGATTTGACAAAACAAGTTTTGCTATCAACTGAAATTCATTATAAATCGTCATTTCGAATTGATAGCAAAACTTGTCAATATTTAAACATGTTACACATACATATATGTATCTGGTCGAAAATACAAAAACTCAAATGATAAGCGGCAGAACAACAAAGTAGCATAACCAGTTTTTATGCGATCCAAGCTACTTAAACGAGTGTATTGGCAAGAAGGTGGCTACCAAACTTCCTTTACTTTAACCGTGAAATTTTTGCCTTATGTTGCCTACACGCAGACCCACAAATATTGATTAATATATAAGTAAATTCTTTTGTATATTCATTCATATTTGTCGGTCAAATATTTACTTACCGGTTAATACTAAAAATAGTATGGTTCATCTTTATTAGAAAGAATGAATGTTCATATCACTAGATAGGGATTGTTACATAATTTATTATACATGATATTCAATTACATCATGATATTCGTGATAGAATAGCTACAAAGCTATTCTATCACGTTCGTAAGAACGAAGCGCTTCAGAAATGGGGCTACAATTTGTATATAGTTATAACCAAGCGACAATACTGGACGAGGCGCGAACCTTGTCGGTTTCGGCTGGCCCTCACCTTGAGTGGCTGACCCCAGTTGCGTCATTCTATTCATGCATTATTAAAATGGGACCGGCGTGTTTTCCGTTACTTTCTATGCTTCGTAGTTTCATGCTAAGCAGAAAGGAACTTTAGCTATAATAACTTTTAAACTTAATATTTTTTATTTCATAAAAGAATTAAATCACACTACTTTTTCGTCCGCGGCTTCGCTCGCATTGAAGCCCTTAAATAATAGCCTATGTCCTTTCTCAGGATTTTGTCTATCTGTGTACCAGATTTCACTTAAATCGGTTCAATAGCTTTGGAGTGAAAGTCAGACAGACATACAGAGTTACTTTCGCATTTATAATATTAGTATGGATAGTATGGATTAGACTAACGCATTGAAGAACTTTCGATTCAATAATTGCTTGGTCTTCTTGAGAGGCATGGGCACTATTTCAGGTAGAATTAAAATTCATTTCCAGCTTTGATTACTATAAAGTCACGGGATAGCAGTAATTAAGATATAAGTAGGTGCATATTAGATGTAAAAATAACTCTTATGGTTAGTAGCTAATACTATCAGTTACTTCCCTATTCCTATATAACTACATATCTACGCAATATAGTTTCAATAATTGAAACTAATCTGTCACATGATATTATGATAAAACGTGATAATTATCAACAATGTACAAGTTACAACAGCATAATATATAAAATCAATAGCTGGAGGTGTCATAATTTTGTGTTTAACGTTGTGTTAGATGATCCTGAAATCCTATGTTAATCATCCCGTAAACCTATTTATTTAACTTCTAAAATAATAGTCTTATGTCATTACTACGATAATCCTTATATGTAATATGTCATTAGAAAATAAAATTTTTACTGATTTTCTTTTCGATAACTATACCTTTATATTGATTGTGTAAACTTAGGTTTACACAGAAGATTACCAAAATAAAATGTAAGTACGTACTATGCGCTTACTGTTTATGGATATTATATAAACAAAAATCACACGAAATCCAGAAAAGATCAACAAGCGTTATGCAAAAAAAATTGTAAAGAAATAAGGGATGTTACGAAATTATGTGTTTATTAATATCATCCAATAATTATTAGTGAGTAGCAGAGTAACTTAACAACAACTATGATAATCACAGATATGTTGTTAACGCGCCTCAAGTACGACCACGAAAACGTCCCAATTAGGACGTCTTGTATTTAGTTTAAGTTCACGTTCGGCAGGGCGGTGAATAAGGCGCGTTGTCAAAATATTTACAATAATAAAAGATAATATAAAATTAATATAAATATATACATACATATACAGCTGGTCTTTACAACCGCGACAATAAATGAACACACATATAGAGGATAACTGTTTAAAATTGTATTAAGTATACTACATATTCGTTTATTGTAATAAAAACAAACTATGTTTTTTAAAAAAAATTGCCATTCTTTTCTCTAAAAACAGAACTTGTTAACAATGCGATAGTCCTTACTAATATTATAAAGGCGAAAGTTTGTATGTATGGATGGATGTTTAATTACTCTTTCACGCAAATACTGCTGAATGGATTTTAATGAAACTTTACAATAAGCGTCTATATCAGAATAAGACATAGGCTATAATTCATATATATATATATATATTATGTATATCTGTATTTCTGTTTAAATGTTACGCCTTCAGCTTCTTCTACGCAGACGTAGTCGCGGACAGCAACTAGTCATTCATAAATGCGTCGTATAATCGAGCATAGCATTCATAAATGCGTCGTATAATTATGAATAATCGTGCGTAAAATAAATGAGTTGCCCATAAATCACGCACTTTTTGAGATAAGTTTAAATTAATGTAATTAATTAATTACAAGTGATTTTAAATATTTACCATTTTATATAACATTATTTATGTATGGAATTTTATTTAACAAAATGTATAAACTTAGAAAAGCCTCCCTGTATATTGTAAATAATATATGTATTATATAAAATAATACAACGAATACAAGTAGTTTTAAACAAAACAAGAACCGACTTCAAATAAAATGATCTACGTAACTATTACAACGTTACATGCGGAACAATGTATATTGATGCGATAGCAGCAATCGCGATTGATTTCCTTTCGTATTTCGAAGAGTTCCGTTGCTATCTCCGAAAATCGTCATCAGATCTATATGTAATTTATATGGGACCATTTCGGAATCAAACCGTTACGAACAAAAAAAGAATTTTGCAAATCCGTCTATATAAAAATATATTAAATTGGAATTGATAACTTCCTTCTTTTACAAGTCAGTTAAAAAGGCACATCAAATAGAGTTGTTGTTTTTCTTATTATTATTATCTTACATAGACCCGAAGTAATATATACTGCGGGTCTGCGATTTTGTGTCCTTTCTTCAAAGAGTTTATAATTTTCATCCGTCATCTAAAGCTTAATTTTTCAAGTCTTAGGCTGAAGATACTCTTGGCCCATTTCAGATACTTTGTCTTTTAATTCGTGCCACATATCGTCGATAGGGTTAGGTATTTCATTCTCTTTATCCAAAGCCCATTTGATAGTCTCGTTCGCTAATTTATATGTATGGTCTCGCCTGAATGTCTTAATTCTGGACTTTTATTTTTTCCGAGGTTAAACGATGGTAGGGCCACGCACCAGCCTCGGCTGTTGCACGAATGGGCAGCCTCGTCGATATTTCAACAAAAGTTTTTTTCAAATTTACTTGTTCTTTACTAAATAAAACTAAATTGTTGCCAAAACTTCTACATTAACAATCATTTAAAGTCTGACTTCCAAACCATATTGTCTAGGTGAAGATAAGAATACTTCTTATATGTTAATGAGATTTTGAATTGCTAAGTTACGGCACGGGCGACACGACCAGTGGAATAGAAAAATAGAAAAGATATTGCAAACAGACAACCTTCAAACGTAGTTTTAATTTGTCTTGCAGCATCGATGACCATGCCACCAGGGTACTGTAATACCATGATAATACTATAGAGGCTGGAGCTCACATACTCTAAAACCAGTCTAAAACCAGTCTAAAACAGAACGTTCGACCGTGTTCTTTATGCTCGTGAATTAGTAAGGAGTTGGTAAAAACTAATGTTCTCGCTCACTCTAACAATTGTTCTGCTTTAATCAATAATGCCATGCATATAGTTAATCCACATTTATTAGCACATTTTCAAAGGTATCTTATTTTTCTTAATATGTTTATATTGAGAAGGAATTTTTTAATTAAACGTTAGTGTAAAATAGCACTGATTAACGAAACTATTTTGAAAATAATTATATCAATTATACATAAATATATTCTATTGGGCGAAGTTGATTATATCAATGGACATAATCGTAAGCAGTTTGAGTACTTTATTTTTTGCCTGTTACGTAAAGACAATTGTTAATTTAGTACTGTAACGGTAGATAATATAAAATTGTTGGCAACACTATCTTACGTTATTCTGTTATCTGTTATATAGTAGTATAATTTTGACAGTAAGCAGAGTACGACGTATTTAAACAAATGTGCTACGTCAATCCCAAACGTGTACTTTTTTAACTTTATAAAACCTTAGTTACACCTAAGCGAACAATTTAGTAGTAACACTGTGAATAAGTACAAGATGTCGGATAACTCACAGGATATAATAAAAGAAGCTGCAGCGGCAGCCGCTGTAACTGGATCGCTATTTAGCACATTTGATGTAATCATGCTTGTTCTTTTGCTGGGAGCAGCTGTTTGGTGGCTATACAGTTCCAGAAAGGGAAATAAAAAGGATGAAATTCTACTAAGCAAATATTCGATACAGTAAGTGTTGCAATTAGTTTCTCAATAAAAGTGCAACTTGTTGCATTTTTATAACAAGGGGTGTATTTTACTTTATTTTTCAATAAGTGCAAAATTTAAGCCATTATTAGTTTATTAATAAGACAGAAACAACAATTTAATACTGATTTACCATAGAGAAAAAACACATTATTTTGAACAATTTAGTAGGTACTTATGATTTTTTTAAGAAAATATATATAGCGTTAGGTGAAATAAGAGTAAAATGTATCCAGTTCTAACATTGTTTGCCCTTTTTGATTGACTTTATGGAAATAACGTACAAGATAGTGTGACTTGTATTATCCATATTGCATTATTATTATGACATCATTTTGCTTATGGCCATAGAGCTGGAAAAGCAAAAAACTTTGAACTAGGTACTTGCATATAAATAGTGTTGCCATTAGTGTGGCAGGACTGGATAGTTATAATAACAAATATTGACAACAAAAAGATGGAGCAGAATCTGAAGGACACATAGTTTTTAAGAAAAATATTTAAAACTCTCACTAAAGAAATCTGCCATTTTACTAATTCCCCTTCAAAAATTGAATACACAATACTGCCAACTATTAATGAGCTAATGAGTAATGAAAAATTTTACTACTTACTGCTGCAGCTACTAATTTTACTGCTGCAGGGAAATTCATAGATAAACTGAAAAATCATACATTTAAATAGACTTAACTGAAAAAGCTGATTTTGTCTTATTCCTGGTATTGGAGGACTTATGTTTGTGCCAAATTCTTTTTAAAATATAGCCAGTTAATGGGTAGTAACATATACTTTACATGTATTTTGCGTCCATTATGCTAAGGTTTTTTGTGAAGTACATAGAGAAAGTAGAAACAACTACCTTTGATCGGACAGATTATATCTTTCTATACCAGGCAAGCAAAATAAAAATTTATGGATTGTTAAATACCTCAATATGTTAACTTTTTAAGTTATGCTGTAATAGCAACTTGCTCATATATGTTGCTCAAATTCAATTGACAATATTTATGATTTCAAAATATGTTTAGGTTATAAAAACTATTTATTTTTAACATATTTTGTTTAGAACTCATTTGTTTGTATTTTTATAATACCATTAGCAGAATATTAGTTACCAAATTCATGCCTTTTTATCAGTGTTTTCTTAAAATATTAAGGTTAATAAGTACTTATATATCTGAGATATGCCTACACATACAAGAATCTAATCACAATCTTACACAAAAAACATACTTATTATACTTAAATAACATAACTTATAAGAAAATTATTGCAAGATAAGTGTTCTTCCAATGATTGTTCAACTAGTAGGCTTTTTATCCAAAAAATTCTTAATTGAATACCTGGTGTATGCTTGTTAGATTTTCCTCCCTTAGTTCTGCAAAATGATAATAACTTTATTATTTATAATAGATCCTTACTTCCTTACAAATATTAAAAAGGCGAAAGTTTGTATGTATGCATGGATGTTTGGTACTCTTTCATGCAAATACTGTTGAATGGATTTTAATGAAACTTTACAATAATTTAGCTTCAATATCAGAATAAGACATAGGCTATAATTTATATACATATTTTCTGTCTTATGTTACACCTTATTTTATGTCTTAATGTTACACCTTAGGCCTACTACGCAGATGTAGTAGTGGGCAGCAGCTTGTATTAAATAAGTAAAAACGTAGTATAAAAACAGCAAATGGTATTTATGGCCATTTTCCAAAGGGTTGTCAATATATATATATATATATATATATATATATATATATATATATATATATATAAAATAAAACCAATTCTTTCTAATGTTGGCAACCCTTATATACACACACACACACACATATGCCAACATTAGCATATACATAACATTATATACTCATGATGGTTTTTTCCTCTTATGTAGGTTATTCAAATAATTCTGCTGAATAACTAAGTAATTATAATGTTGACCATGAGGTACTTCTTTTTATTGACGGCGACGTCACGAATACTTCACATCTATATAGATAAATAAAATTGGAGTGTCTGTTTGTAATCTTAAAATAACCGCTTTTTACTAAATGCATATGGACTTATGCACGGTACACATACCAAAATAACATTTTTTACAATTTTTGTCTGACAATTTTTCAACAGACAGACAGCTGTTTGTTCTGGCTAATCTCTGAAACGGCTGTAGCGATTTAGACGGGACTTTCACTGGCAGATATCTGATGTAATAAGGAATAACTTAGGCTACTTTTATTTTAGATTTTTTTTTATTTCAAATTCTACGCGGACGAAGTCGCGGGCACAGCTAGTTATAACTATATTGAATAGAACTGACTGGAAATCTTTTCTTTGGTTTCACATGCTTTAACTTTAAAATCATGTAAATACGACAAAGAAAACAAAAATAGTTTCCTCAATCTTTATAACGACATTGAAATGTTTCTCATTTAAGTGTAAAAAACAAGCCGTGACGTCTGACCGTAACCGGAATTAATTCGAAATGAAGACTGTAGCTTAATAAGTAACATGTTGATTTTTGCAATGTTTGTAACAGCAATGGTAGCCGAGTGGCCAAAGACCTCGACTCGCGATCTGAACACTCAGTCGCCACGAATACATTAAGTAGTCTGTGACATTTTCACATAACCTCGGGTAAATTTGTATACGTGTATCCACCCGTTTAATGTAAGTGGCTTGATAGCTTCTAACAAGTAAAAAAACCTCCATACGACATGGGAAATGAAAAACAAAGTAGCCTTGGACATTTAAGAACTAACATCGTAACAAAAAAGAATCAAGGTTCGCGTGTAATAAATCTATTATCTCGCACGATACCAGTCCGAAGTCCGTTGATGACAAAACCACGACCCATGAGAGACGAATGAAGTTCCCATTAAATAAGTATATTAATTAATTTTCAAAGTAATAAACCGTATAACCGTTTATTATGGTAGAAAAATGAAATGTAACTGAAATTTACATTTTTAGTCAAATGACGATTGATTTCAAGCACAATCTCGAAAGGATGTCGTCGGAGGAAATTACTTTTGTCTTAATTTGTATATTATTGAATTGTTATTTTGCATATTATGTTCTCCGGAGGAAAAAAAAATTGTTTTCTTATATGAACTGGTTTGAAACACAGCAAATGCTCAAACACGTAATGTTTGATAAAAATTATACGATTTATTAATATAACCTTGACTCGTGGCTAAGTTACACGATAATGATTGTAATCGTTAAAATTACGTTACTCGCTCTTGTTTAAAACTATATATATTTAACTTTCTAAGTATACAAAATTTATGAAATAATTGACTACAAAAACTGGACGTGCTTTTCGATTTTATATATTTTGTAGTGCAAATTTGAGCAATAACTTGGATTATGCGTCACAGGTCACTACTATATGATTTTTTCAGAGCTCGTTTACAGGGTTATTGGAAGAAATCACTCTGTTTCTTAACTCTGAGACTGAATTAAGATCAGGATCTTAATTCTAGAATCTAGATAGCTAGAAATGAAAAATTTCGGATCTGAATATGGTGGAATAGGTTATGTTGGTTTCCTATCTACTAAAATGTCACGGTAGGCACCATCAGTCTTGATTAGGCATCACAAAAGCTCCCATTCCATTAACATCGGAACCTATTATATTATTTACATTAAGGTTTCTACAAAAAGCATTGGGGCCCTAAAAAACGATTGTTTCCAGCCTTAAAAACTAGGATCTGTTCAATTTATGGAGGTATCCATGACTTGAAACACATACGTCCTGCGGCGTCTCCTTATATAAGAAAAAAGCTACGGTACTCTTCCCTGAGTAACAGGCCTTGAGCAGCTGTGCTCAGTGATTATCTGTGTAAGTCTGTGACTCACAGTGGAAAAATCTAGGAACATTCTTATTCATATTGCATATTGGTCCTTATAGAGCAGAGCAAACCATGTTGAAATTAAACTCAGTTGTTCTAGCTGTTTACCTATCTCGAGCACCTCTTCTGACTCACTAAGAACAGAACTACCAGAGGATGCAAATCCGGTTGTACAACTTTGGATGTATGTTCGCCAACATATCCAGAGGTGGAAAGGTGGTGGCCAAGGCTGCCGCTACCATGAACGATATCGTTCGTTATTCATATGATCCGTACGGCTATCCTACGATGGATGTTGTAGATTTTAGATCTATAATTAAACCCTCTTTTAAGCCTATCAACCACTAGTGTGTCATCCGAATAATAGATGATGTTAACGGAAGCCAGGAGTTCTCTACGCAAATCTGTATCGTATACCACAGTAATAGGCCTAACACCACACCCTGTGGAACGCACTTGCGAGTGCATATGGTACACAGAGAAAGAGTTTGCAGGTCACTCTTCGTTCTTCCAGAGGACCTTTTAAGGCTTAAAGAACGTTGAGCTTTTTTATCGTTTTTCATTGTTGCATGATATTCCATCAGTTCTAAGCGCAGCGCTCGGGATTCTCAAACGCAAACAATTTTGTCAATCTCCTGATATTTGGTATCTTACAGGCATTGTATAAGTCGATTGCCGATATATGTATACATTTAAATTACAACCACGGTCAGAAAGATTTTGTTGAGGACCATGTTACATTATGAATCACTTTAAAATGTTGATTTGTACTTACACGACCAAACGTGAGAACTTTGACGTCTTTGTTATTCCAGTTTGTTTGGTTCCTAACAGCGTTTGGCAGTAAAATACAAAACGTATCACGGCTTGAACTTAATGCATATTAATTAAAAAAAATACACCACATATCGTCCCATTAGCCGTACAAACCCGAGAATTACCAGCAAAATATTTTACCGCTGACGGTCGACTGACGTATATCGTAGAATAATTATACAACTCGCCATACCTGCAACATTACTTGAACGATTTCAAGAACGGTTATCCGGCACATTTGAACACGATCTGATCGTTTCTATACGTTAAGTAATTTCATATATTTTACTATATTTTATTTATGTG